AAAAAAAAAAAAAAAAGGTGTGTCTTGTTCCTTTTATTATGTTTCTTGTTTAGTGTTTGTACATGGCCAATTCTTGATAACTAGTTATCAAATGAATTAATGAAGCTCAGGTGATGGATGAGTTGACTACTGGGGAATAGCTCAGTATAAACCACATGACCACTTGGTGGGGATGTTGTAGAAGGGATGCAAACAAGCCCAGGTCACCTTTTTTTTTTTTTTTTCCTGGCTACACTAGGGTTTGAACTCAGGGCCTCTTGCTTGCTAGGAAGGCACACTACTGCTTAGCCACACCTCTAGCCTTCAGTATTTCCCTTCTTCAAGGCTGACATGGATGTGAACATTGCCTCCTAACTAGGTTTTTATTTTGAGGTCCCATTAAATTATCCATGAGAATAGCAAAGTGATATATTGCCATTTAAAATGATGATTTTTGGGGGCTGGAGCCATGGCTCAAATGGTAGAATGCTTGTGTAACATGAGTGAGGCCACGGCTTCAGTCCCTAGTACTGAGGGGAAAAAAAAGGGAAAAGATTTTGAAGTTAGTACACTTGGTTCAAATTTCATATTTATTCCACCTAAAACCATGAGATCTTAGACAATTTGCTTAACTTTTCAGTCATGATTTCTTCATCCATTAAATGGGTATAGTAAAACCAATTTCATAGTGTAGATAATTAATTGAGAGTATATCAAACACAATACAGTGCTTGCTATTTCCTTACATAATAACAACCATTGTGACTGGGTGCTGGTGGCTCAGGCCTATAATCCTAGCTATTCCGATCAGGAGTAGAGATCAGGAGGATTGCAGTTCAAAGCCATATAGTTCCATGAGATCTTATCTTGAAAAACCCTTCACAAAAATAGGGCTGGTGGAGTGGCTCAAGGTGGAGCCCTGAGTTCAATCTCCAGTACCTCAGGGAAAACAAACAAAAGAACAATCATTGTTAGCAAAGCTATAATACAAGAATTATGGTGAGCAAGATGCTGGTGGTTTCTGCCTAGCATAAGGGAGGCTGAGATTGGGAGGATTGTGGCTTGAGGCCAGCCCTGGGAAATACTTCCTGAGACCCCTACCTCCAAAATAACGAGAGCAAAATAGACTAGAGGTGTGACTCAAATGGTAGAGCACCTGCTTTGTGAGCATGAACCCCTGAATTCAAATCCCAGTTCCACCAAAAAGAAAAAAAAAAAAAAGAACTGTGGTGAGATGGGGAATTGAAGACCTAGAACCTTGGATAGAGGAGACACAATGAAGAAGAGTTTTAGATAAAATTTTAAAGTATGTTCTTTTCAGTCTGTGGCTGGGCCTAGCACAGCATTAGGTACACAATGACAATTGGTAGATACTGAAGTAGATTTCAAGTATGTAAAGCTTTTATTCACTACTGTATCTTTAGTGCTTGCAAGAGGGTGTGGCACATGGGGACACTTTAGCATTTGTCATATGAGTGAACACTGGGGACTTCTTTGAGATGGCAAGTGGAAACTGATTTAATAAGCCCCTTTTCCTTCTTCTTTCCACCTTTAATTTGGCCGATTAGCCTGTCTCCTTCAGATGGAGCCAGTGAACTACGAACGAGTGAGGGAATATAGTCAGAAAGTCCTGGACCAACAGCCTGATAATGCCAAGGCCTTGTATCGGGCTGGAGTAGCCTTTTTCCATCTGCAGGACTATGACCAGGCTCGGCAATACCTCCTGGCTGCTGTCAGTAGGCAGCCTAAAGGTGAGTGAGAAGGGCATTGAAGTAGAGAGGACAAATGAAATTGTCCTGCTATCAACAGACAGTGTTTAGGGGATAGATTATGCTGGGCGCCAGTGGCTCATGCCTGTAATACTAGCTACACAGGAGGCAGAGATCAGGAGGATCGAGTTTAGAGGCCAGCTGGGGCAAGAAAAACCGAGATCCTGTCTCAGAAGTACCCAACACAAAAACGGGTTGGCAGAGTTGCTCAAGTGGGAGAGAGCCTACAAAGCAAAGATGAGGCCCTGAGTTCAAACCCCAGTACTGCCCAAGAAAAGGTAGTACTTGAAACTTAAGGAGTGGCTCACGCCTATAATCCTAGCTACTCTGCCTATCATCACAGCTACTCAATAAGCAGAGAACAGGAAGATCAAGGTTTGAAGCCAGCCCCTTTGTGAGACCCTATCTCAAAAAGACCCATCACAAAAATGGGCTGGTGGAGTGACTCAAGGTATAGGCCCTGAGTTAAAACCCCAGTATGGCAAAAAAAACAAAAAACAAAAGTCTTGGTGTAGTGGTGGTATTTATGGAAAGGTATACAGTGAGCAAGGCTTCTTCCACGCCTGTGTTCTTGCTTCTATAAGAAAGCAATATTAATTGTGTGTATACCCTTAGGAAATATTAAGCTTAAACAGATGTATGTGTTTATATATGCCTATTCTTGGTTTATGCCTGTTGTATATACATGCATGTTTTTATGTATACAAGCCTGTTTTTCACATATATGTAAAATACGAGGCTGGGATGTGGCTCAAATGGTAGAGTGCCTGCCTAGCAAGCCAGAGTTCAAACTCCAGCAACAGCAAAATTAATTAAATAAAATTTCTGTTACTTCCCCCCCCACACACACACACACAGGGCCCTGCACATGCCAAACAGATACTACACTGCTTGCTCATATTTTTAGAATTTATTTATTTATTTAATTTATTTATTTTTGAGACAGTGTTCCACTGTGTAGCCCACACGGGTCTGGGACTTGAGATTCTCCTACCTCCTCCTAAGTGTTGTGATTATAGGTGTGTGCCACCCACACCATGTAATGTTTTGATAGGTATATACACTATATAATATTTAAGTCAGGTTAAACATACCTACTCAAATACTTATCATTCCTTTATGGTAAAAGGTTTGGAAGTCCTTTTAGCTTTTTGAAAGTTACACTGCAATATCATTTTCTGTAGTCACCCAATTCTGCATGAAAGGGAATTTATTTTTTGTTTTTTGGTGGCACTGGGGCTTGAACTCAGAGCCTTATGCTTGCGAAGCTTGCTAGCTAAGTGCTCTATCACTTGAGCCACTCCACCAGCCCTGTTTTTGTATTGTGTTTTTTCAAGATAGGGTCTGGAGAACTATTCCCCTGGGCTGGTTTTGAACCTCCTCATCTCTGCCTCCTGAGTAATTAGGATTATAGGTGTGAGCCACCGGCACCTAGCAAAAGGGAATTTTTTTTTTTTATTGATAGGAAGAGTGCAAGGCCTCTTCACTGTGCTTTATTTATTTTAGTTTTTGGTGATACTGGGGCTTATACTTAGGGCCTCATGCTTTCTGTGTAGGTGCTCTACCACTTGAGCCACTCCACCATCTGAAAGGAAATTTTAGAAGCATTATTTTTTAATATTTAAGTCATACCCTTTAACACTGTGACTGGAATAGCATGTGAATCCCAGTTAAACTTGATAACCCTCATTCTGCCTGCTCTCCAGCGAGGGGCTGGCCTTTGCGTTTGCCATCATTTTATTCTTCAGCTCCAACTCTTCAGCTCCAGCTAACTCCAGGTTTGACCTAGAAAAAGAATTGGCCTACTAAAAAAATTTGAGAGTTTGCACTTTGTTTCTAAGGCAAAAAGGATACTGTGAAGTAAATAGCAGGCTCATGCCAGGCACTGGTGGCTCACACCTGTAATCAGGAGGTAGAGATCAGGAGGATCTTGGTTCAGAGCCAACCCGGGCAAATAGTTTGAGGACCCTATCTTGAAAAAAATCCATCACCATTGGCTCAATGATGGAGTGGCTCAAGGCCCTGAGTTCAAACCCCAGTACTACAAAAAAAAAAAAAAAAAA